TTTATGTGGTGCTAAGGACCCAACCCAGTGTCTCACACACGCTAGGCAAGCACTCTGCCTCTGAGCTATAGCCCCAGCCCCCATGTTTCAGTCTTGAACTCTTTTATTTAAATGACCATGAAACTTAGCTAATTCCGTCTCCTAAAACTCTCTGGATCATCCTCTCCTGCCCTTTGCACAAACCCATCCTACTGCAGAAGTCTCAATCTGAGCCTGTCACTCTGCTAAATACCACTATTGCTCTTGAACTCACTAGGGTCCTGCAGTCCTACTTGCTCTTCTTTCCACCCTAGTCTTTCCAGGCTCCAGCTCTTCAGCCTTTTCTTTCTTTCACCTTTTTCCTCCTGAGCGCCTTTCGAGGCCCCTAGCTTTTCCCATCACTGTCCCCACCCAGTCCTGGGGGGACAGAGCTACTCCATACTTCATTCCAGGGCACTGACCATTCTGTCCCTCTGCGGTGGCACCTCGCAGCAAGGCTGCCCACTGCTGAGCTTCCTGAGTGTTGAGGAAGCGCAGACTGAGAGTTCCGGGCCCTCCTGGTGGAGGCTGCAACTCATGTTGACTGGGGCCGCGGATGGTATAGGAGATTGACTCCAAGGGCCACTCCAGACTGACCTGTGGAATAGGAGAGTCCAGGATCAGTGGATTCCCACCCTGAACCACATGCTAATCAAGGAAAGACAAGAAAACATTTGTAGATCACTAGATCACGTACGCGGTCCTAAACCCTTTCCACCTGTTATCTTACCAAATCCTCACAACAGTTTGTAAGGTAGGAACCAGCGCCATCCCCATTTTACAGGCCAGAAGGCAACCAAACCATGAAAAGTAACGGCTTAAGGGCACGCTGCGGGCTGGCGGAGGCGCCCGGTCTCGGGCTCCAGCCGCGGTCCGCACTCACCGCTCCGGGCCCCGCGCCTCGCAGCTCCAGTCGGAAACGCCCGGGCCTTTCGGGATCCGCGCTCAGCTGCAGCCTCCGCAGCTGCGTCTCAGCGTTGGACCCGGCGCCCAGCGGTCTCACCGCGGCGTGCACAGCCAGGAGCACTGCGGCTGAGCCCGGGTCTGCGGCCGTGGCCCCGCCCGCCGGCGGCGCCATCTCCTGTCCCGGCGGGTCAAGGTCTTCCGAGCCGACTTCCGTGAGATCGCGCTGCGGAGCGCCTCCGCCGGCCAGAAACTCAAATCGTGAGCCTGGGTTCCGGGGGCGGCAGATCGTCAGGGCCCAGGAGGGATGCAGGGCAGCGCTGCTGCGGAGCCTGATCCGCCTGCCATGCCGAGGGATGGAAACGGCCCGAGGGACTCCGGACACCTCCGGCCGCGGCCGTCACGTTTGAGCCGGGTCTCGGGGGCAAAGTGTCAGGCTCTGAAGCGCGGCCTGGCTCGGGCTTTTGGCCTCAAAAGCTCGGGTGAGGGTAGGCTACAGCCTGGCCCGAAAAGTTCTTGAGAGAGGATGGAGAAGGGAGGCAAGTCCGCGGCACTTCCCAGTAGCCCGGGTCTGCGGGCCACCGCCCCTTGTAACCTCAGCCCCGCCACGCCCACACTGCGCGCTCCACGGGCCCGCGCCGCTCAAGGAACCAGGGCGGACCCCTGGGGCGGGGCAGGCGGGCTCCTGACCAATGAGCGCCGGGGAGGAGGTGGGTTAGTACGCGGGACAGTGACTGACAGGCCCCACGGCCAGCAGAAGTGGAAATCAGGACTGAGCGGCAGGGACCGCCCCCAATGGCTAGTTGCGCTCCCGATCTCCGAAGCTGGAGCGGGCCACTCAGAGGCGTGGGGCTGGGCCTGGCGGAGGCTTGTTGTTGTCCGGAGGCGGAGGTCGCAGGTTCGCTCGCTCGCTGGGTCGATCTGTGGCGGTCGACAGCAGGTCGGTCGCGAGAGCGGGCGCTGTGCAGGGGGGCGAGGCTATGTCGCGGTGGCAACCCGGATGGGCCGGCAGGGCCGGGAGTAACGGGACGTCGCCGCGGAGCTTCTCCCAGATACAGTGCGACCCGAGTGGAGGCCGCGGCGCCGCTTTCCGCCCCTGAGGAGGCCGCACCGCGCGGAGTCCTCCTTGCTTTCGCCCCGGTACCGACGAAAAGCGACCAGACCGGTCCGGCCCGATCTGCCAGGCCCATACAGGTGGGTGTCTGTCCTGTGCCCGGTGCCGTCCGGGGCCGCCGGAACCACAGCTCCCGGGGGGCCTGGCGCGGGCGCGCTGCCTTCTGGGACTTGTAGTTCCGCCACGGCTTGGCAGATGCCCCGCACCCGACGCGCTGCCTCCTGGGACTTGTAGTTCTGCTGCGGCCTGGCGGGTTCCCCCTCTTGCGACCGGGAGAACGATGCAGCTTGCTGGTTAGGCAGTAGCAACTCGCTCTGCTCCTTGTTATCGGAAGAGATCACGCGTACTTGCAGAGCAGAATGGTGGAGCCTATAGGTTTCCTCTCCTTGCCAAAAAGCAGACCCTAGAATAGGGGAAGAACCTCAGGATGGAGGGGAGCCCAGCCCAGCCTGAGGACTACTACAGGAGTCATACCCCTTCGCAGGCTAAAGTAATCCTCGTATTCGTTGGGCACTCTTCCTCTGGATGGGAAAGGGAAGCCTTGAATACCGTATTCGTTTAGCTCCAGGATGAGCAGGATGGGGTAGGTCCCCCAGCCTGGCCCCAGAAGCCTGTGTTATACAGGGAGGTGTGGCTGAGCTGGATCTTGGACTTGCTGCTTTGGTATGACAGGATCTCATCTCTCAGCCAGTGCTTAGTGTTTGGGAGCAGGTCAGAGGAGAGAGAAGGCCTGTGCAAAGCCTGGGCAAAGGCTAGACCCAGTTCTGTACAGAGCTCTGGAGTAGGGGGACTGAAGGTAGAGCCCCATACGATCAGATACCCATGACCTGGCTTCCCATATCCTTAGGCAGCACTAGCCCTTCTGGAGCAAGGAGTCTTTTCCCCAAGGACATGAAGCTGTTGGAGAACTCGAGCTTTGAGGCCATCAACTCACAACTGACAGTAGAGACTGGAGATGCCCACATCATTGGCAGGTGAGGCTGGAAGCTCTGGGGGCCAGCATCTCAGAGGTCACTGCCCTGGCCCCTGAGTTGAAACTTGAAGCGACAGAATGCTCCATGTTCCTGCCTGCATCCCATAGGATTGAGAGCTACTCGTGTAAGATGGCAGGAGATGACAAACACATGTTCAAGCAGTTTTGCCAGGAAGGTCAGCCCCATGTGCTGGAGGCACTATCCCCACCCCAGACTTCGGGCCTCAGCCCCAGCAGGTGAGCTGAGATAGGACCTGCCTCTTTGGGTCTGTGGGATGGCAGTCTAGGCTGATGTTTGTCTCTGTGCAGACTGAGCAAAAGCCAAGGTGGTGAAGATGAGGGTCCCCTCAGTGATAAGTGCAGTCGCAAGACCCTCTTCTATCTGATTGCCACACTCAATGAGTCCTTCAGGCCAGACTATGACTTCAGCACAGCCCGAAGCCACGAATTCAGCCGGGAGCCCAGCCTGAGCTGGGTGAGGACTGGGAAGGAGCCCGGAGGGAGCCCCACTCCCCCACCCCACAGCCTTTCCCACTGCCTTTCCCACTGCCTTCCCCACATCAGCCTGGGCTCTGCCTTGTTTGGTCCTGGACCCTGCCCTGGACCCCTGTCAGCCCCAGTGTGACCTGCCCTAGGTGGTGAATGCAGTCAACTGCAGCCTGTTCTCAGCTGTGCGGGAAGACTTCAAGGCCCTCAAGCCGCAGCTGTGGGACGCAGTGGATGAGGAGATCTGTCTAGCTGAATGTGACATCTACAGGTGGGCCTGTATCTTCACAGGTAGACCCCTAGGTATATGTGACACGGAGAGTCTCATACTATGTCTTGGCCTACTCTGCAGCTATAACCCAGACCTAGACTCGGACCCCTTTGGGGAGGATGGCAGCCTCTGGTCTTTCAATTATTTCTTCTACAACAAGCGGCTCAAGCGAATTGTCTTCTTCAGCTGCCGTTCCATCAGGTTGGTGCTGCCTGTCTCCCTTCCTCCAGTTCCTATTGGGCCTCACCGTCTCCTCAGGTTGCCCATCTGTTCTCAACTTTGTGCTGCCTGGACATCCTCCCTGGGGCCATCAGCAGGCCTGGGGCAGATGGTCCTAAGATTGTTTCCCCACTTCCCACCCAGTGGTTCCACTTACACACCCTCAGAAGCAGGCAATGAGCTGGACATGGAACTGGGGGAGGAAGAAGTGGAGGAAGAGAGTGGAGGCGGAGGCAGTGAGGGCAGGGCTGAAGAGACCAGCACCATGGAGGAGGACAGGTATGTGACAGTGGTGGTGGTCCCAGTCCTTGGAGCCTCTAGTGCCTGGGCCAGGTCAGGGTCTCTTCTGCCTTGTCTCCTGAGTGGTGGCTCCTCAATTCATCGTATGTCAACCTTTGCCCAGGGTCCCAGTGATCTGTATGTGATGAGGAGAAGCAGAGGCCCCAGCTTCACCCAGCTTCAACCAGTGCCTGGACCTACCCACCTGAGGGGCCCAAGGCCTCCCCAGCTGCTGGCCATACCCTGGCACTATCACTGTCCTGGCGCTGCCCAGGCCAAATCTGCCTAGCCCTTTGGCTCCAGCCTGTGGATGTGCACTCATCCTCGAAGGCTCCTACTGCCCATGCTGTGACTGGACTAGACAGCACGGGGCCTGCTGGAAAGAGTGACTGCCCTGCCCAAGCAGACTGCCACAGCAGGGACAGCTGGACCACAGAGTTTATTTTTGTATTTCATACTGGGTCTGTACACTCCTGGCCTGAGACCCAGCAAGCAGGCTCCTGTCTTGAGCCAGTGGCCCCTGGTGCCTACCTGTTCCCCCCACCTCACCAGGTGGGCCGTGTGCACTGAGTGTCACTTTGCTGCAGCTCATTTGTTTCCAATAAAAGTTTCTGTGACTCTGGACCTCAGTGCGTCGTGTGGGCGGGGCCTGCATTGTGGGCGGGGCCTGTCATTCATATCCTAGCAACCGATGCTGCCCCACCCGCCAGGAAACGGTTAGTTTCCCAGAGCTGTTGGTCATCTGGACACACAGCTGTGAAAATGGAGGCTAACATGTTGGACACAAGCAAGCCCTTATCATCAGAAGGCGATAACTTGCTTCTGGACTCAGACCTGTATGATGCAGACGGCTTTGACACCCCAGACCCTGGGCTGCTATCAGAAAAGAATGGTGAGGGGGACTGGCCTTACCCCCTAGGCACCCGGCCAGAAACAGGACTCATTTGGACTTGGTTCTGGGAACACAACTCTGGGCAGTAACTGATTCAACCGGGCACTTGGAGAAGGGCACCTTGCTGCCCATGACCTCCAGGGTTGGGGCCCAAGGCCACAGGTAACAGTACTCCCTCCATTGGCCCACAGAGCTGTGTTCCCTGGAGCAGTCACAGGTCCTGCAGCTTTTCACCAGCACCCAGCGGTGGCAAAACATGCCCCTGTGTACCCGCGCCCACCAGCTGTGGCTGCTCATTCGTACTGGCCTCCACAACGTTGTGGAAAAGGTGTGATTTGGCCCAGCATCTGCCACTGGTCTCTTCCCAGTCCAGCCCTTCCCCTGGGGGTCCTCTGCATCAGCTCCATTGGAGTTTCCCTCTGCAGAAGAGCCCAGCCCCCACCCCTAACTGCAGATCCTGCTCATCCTGGCCCGCAGGAAAAGAGAGCTGAGCTGCGCGTTGCTCGCTTGACACATGGGCTGGAGCCACTGCGCCGCCTGGAGGTGCCAGCTGGGCTGCGATCTGTGGCACAAGACCCAGTGGGAGGACATTTCGTGGTGCTGGATGGGGCAGGTTGCCTGCACCTGCATAAAAAGGATGGCTGGGCTCAGGAGACGCTGCTGGCCCCTGTGGCACTTACTGGTCTGGTAGCTGTGCTGGGTCCTCTAGGAGCGGTGGGTCGCTTTGTAGGCTGGGGCCCCACAGGGCTGGCCATACTAAGGCCAGACCTCAGCCTGCTGTGGTTGAGCCAGCCCGAGGTGGGTAGGGTGCTAGGCCGTGAGCCCACTTGCTGCCTGCCGGTGCCCAACCTGGGGCTGCTGCTTGTGGCTGAGGTGGGCGGCAGCCTGGCTCTCTTTAAGTTCCGCTCAGGTGGTCGCCGCCTGGTGCTGCGTGGCTTACCCCTTCAGCCACCACCAGGCCTGGCGGGCACACTCAAGCGTCTGGCTCTGGGGCCAGGGTCTACCCACCAAGACACACACTGCTTCGCAGCCTACGGCTCAGCTGTGCTCACCTTCGATCTACAAGCCTGGAATCTCACAGATGTGCGCCAAAATCTGCACAAAACGTGAGGGGGGCTGGGGACTGGAAGACAAGGTGGTCCCCTAGAGAGAGCTGGTCATGGCAGGGGTGCAGGCTGCAACACACTAGGCAGTGCTGAGTTCACGGGGCCTCCCCGTTCTCTCTAATCCCCAGCACCATCTCTGACCTGGCCTACTTCGAGGAGGCAAAGGCCATGGTGACGTCTTCCCAAGACAGTACGGTGAAGGTGTGGGAGGTTAACTGGCAGATCCGCATGGTGTTCGTGGGTCACACAGGTGCGCTGCTCCCAAGATGCTCTTGAAGTGTATTCTCTCTGCACCCGGAGCTCGGCCCTCTGCCTTTGAGCTCTGAGATATTGGAGATTTCTGCTGGGTCTGACCAAGATTCTCTGCGTTGGCTGCATCCCGGGCCAACAGCTCCCTTCCCTCATTCCCTGGTGTGCCTGAGATCTGCGCGCTCCCGCAGGCCCGGTGACAGCAATGGTCATTCTCCCGAACACCACCCGAGTGTCTTCCGCCTCTCAGGATGGAACGTTGCGAACGTGGGACCTGCAGGCGGCGGCGCAGGTGGGAGAGGTGGCGCTGTGCTCCTGGGGCCAGGACGTGCTGTCCGCGCGCGTGAGCCGCTTGCTGGCACCTGCGGCCCGGGGCTGGCCGGTGCTCTCACTGTGCGCGAGCAGCGTGGAGCTTTGGCGCCTGAGCGAGCTCTACTCGCCATTGGCGCAGCTGCCCGCGCCGGTGCTCCACCTCCAGGTGGCGCCTGCGCTACCAGTGCCCGTGAACCCATCTCTGCCCGTGCGCCTTGTATGCGCTTGTGTGGATGGCTCCGTCTACCTGGTGTCAGCTGCAACAGGGAGAACAGTGAGCGCACTGCTGCTCGAGGCCGAGGACTGCGCGGTTGCGGTGGCCTACTGTCTTCCGCGCGAGGCCCTGTGGCTGCTGACGCGCACAGGACACCTGGTGCGCGCCAACGCAGCATGCTGCCCCATGAGCGTGCTGCATCGTGTGTGCCCGCCACCGCCCCCGGCGCCACAGCCCTGTTGCTTGCACTTGTACAGCCACCTCACAGACCCCGGTAGCGCGTTAGCCTGCTGGGAGATCGTGCGCCAGAACGAGGGCGATCTGCGCCGCAGCGCCATGGCCTGGGCTTGGAAGAACAAGAACAGGTGGGCGCCAGAGCCAGCGAGATCCAGACCGGAGGGAGCGGTGACTGGTGACTGAGCTCATATCAACAGGCTCCGTCACCACCCGCAGGTACCTGCCAGTGATTGGGCATACAGACGGCACACTCTCGGTGCTTGATTGGCTCTCCTCGAAAACTGTGTTCCATACAGAGGCGCACAGCCCAGGCCCTGTTACTGCCATTGCGTCCACCTGGAACAGCATCGTTTCTTCAGGTTAGTACCTCCACTTCCTGAAGCCGGCTCGGGAGCCCCTGCCTTTCCGGGCAGCTCAGCCTTGCTCCCGCTGTCCCACAGGTGGAGATCTGACCGTGAAGATGTGGCGTGTCTTCCCCTATGCAGAGGAGAGCCTGAGCCTGCTGCGCACCTTCTCCTGCTGCCACCCGGTTGTGGTGCTTTGTGCTCTGGGTAAACGCATCACTGTAGGCTTTGAGGACCCAAATAGTGCCACCTATGGCCTGGTGCAGTTTGGCTTGGGTGAGGGTCGTCGCTGTGACCACCGGCCTCAGGATGATCCCATGGACCACATCACTGGTGAGGGGACAGAACAAAAAGGCAAAGCCTGGGCCTCCATGTTAGTCTGGTCCTGACCTAACCTTGTCTCCAGGCTTGTGCTGCTGCCCCACACTCAAGCTGTATGCCTGCTCCAGCCTGGACTGCACCATCCGCATCTGGACCTCCGACAACCGCCTTCTGCGGTGGGCTGGGGCCCTGGGGAGGGGATTGGGGCCTGGGGTATAGACACTGGGCTCTCCAAACCTCTGCTTCACACCACAGCCCAATGGCTAGGGAGTGGGATGACACAGGGCCTTGCCCCTGATACTGCCTCAGTTTCCCTCTCTGAAGCAGGAGTGGCCTCTGGGTACCCCCGCAGGCTCCTGCAGCTGGACGGTTCCCCTCAGGCCCTGGCCTTCTCCAGCAACAGTGGAGACCTGGTGCTGGCAATGGGTTCCCGGCTCTGCCTGGTCTCCCACAGGCTCTATCTGCCCACAGCCTACCTAGTCAAGGTATGCAGTGAGGTCAGGATGGGCAAAGTGGGGCTGCTGCGTGAGGACAGGCCCTGAGGATCAGGGGTCCAAGCTTCTCTTGCTTGCCCAGAACCTGTGCCAGAAGGCTCCTGACGTGGTGGATGACCCTCCATTGCCACTGACCAGCCACGAGTCACTGACCTCCATCCAGATGCAGAGGCTCACCAACCTGCGTGGGGCATTCAGTCTCAGGTCTGCTGGCAGGTCTCAGCTGTCCTTGAGACTCCCATTTAGCCCCTGGGGTCAGGGCCTGACTGTGTGGCCCCTGCATGAGGACTCAGGACTCCTGGACTGCTCAGAGGCTGCCACTCCCATCCCAGCCCTGCCATTCCCTCCTGGCTGGTCCTTGTCCTGCTTTCTGCCCTGTCCTGCTGGACTATATCTTACCTGTGCTTTTCCCTTTCTGCAGCCCAGCCTTGCTCTCCACCCGTCGCCAGACAGCAACACCTCAGCAGCTAGTGATGAAGGAGGTGGGGTGGATACTGACCTTCTTGCCACCCCACTGCCTAGCCCTGTCCCTGCTCAGGCTCAGGCCATTGCCCCTTGGTCCCTACGGCTGGCTTGGACACCTGTAGTTATGTGGGCAGTTCATGGCTTCCAAGGAAGCAAACCTGACCTCTGACCCCCACCTCTCAGGACTTGGAGGCCATAATGGCCCGTGACCAAGACCTTCAGGAGTTGAGGCTGGGACAGGTCATCCCAGCAGCCCGGCCCCCACCCTCCTGGAAACAGCGCCAGGAAGCCTTTGACAATTACCTACGTTTGATCTATGGCCCTGGACTACTGGTGGGTGTGAGGCCATCCTCCAGCCTCTGCCCTGACCCTGGCAAATCCTCTCACCCCAGACCTGACACTGCCACTGTTCCCACCTGTCTCAGGACGTGCAGTTCAAAAGGGAGCCCCAGCAGGGGAGCGGCATGACCCTCACCACAGAAAGAGAGCTCCAAGACAAGACATGTGTACCCTGTCCAGAACTGCCTCCTGCTTTGGGCAGGCTACCATCAGCAGTGAGGCCCAGACAGTACCCAAAGCCCTTCTCCATCCCCAGACCCCGGGGGCCCCAGGCCAGTGTTTTGCCCATCCCCCCAAGTGATCTTGCCTATTCCACCCACCACCAGAAGGTCCATAGCAAAGTGTCCAAGGTGAGGCCTGCCTCCCCTCTCACCCCCTTCCTGACATCATGGCTGAAACCCCCTGACTCCTTGGCTGCCTCAGCTTCTGCCTGCTCTTCCTGAACTGTGACTTGGGCCTCAGTCTGGATCTGCAGATGCAGTTGGAGCAGCTCAGAGAGGAGATGACCATGGCCTTGGACCCACCGTCCTCCCTCCCACAGCACAGGTGAGGGAAACTTAGCAGCTGGGATGCCTCCTACTCAAGAGCAGTACTTGAGGGGCTCTAGGGGCTGTGCTCAACTCTTGAGTCTCTGTCCCATCTCCAGGTCCCACTTTGGCTGCAGAAACAGCCCAAGGATCCTCTCTCAAATCTCAAGGGCTTCTTTCCTGCCACTGTGCAGTCCCACAAGGTGAGGCCTTCTGAGTTCCCAGAGAGGCACCCCCCTCCAGGGTTACTCTTCTTGTGTACCCTATCTCCCCTTTGCTGCAAACCTCTGTGTCCAAATTGGATCTAAGGGCCATGGCCACCTGTAGCTCAGAGGCCAGCTCCAGAGTCCCCCGCCCTGCCCCCCCTTTCCTGGAGTTATGGTGCAGTGGTGTCTGTGGGTAGGAGCACCTTGTTGCCTATGAGGCCTGAGTCTGAGCCAGAGATCCCCTGCCACTGAATCTCCTGCACACCCCCCTCCTCAGTGGGAGCACTCTGTAGGTGGGTCGCCAGTGGGCTTTCCTGCAAGACCAGAGTCCCCACCTTTCAGGGGAGCAAAGTCAAGGGGAGCTAGCCCTTCAAGATCCCATACTTGGGCTGGGGTTGTGGCTCAGTGGCAGAGCGCTTGCCTAGCATGGGTGAGGCACTGGGTTCGATCCTCAGCACCACATAAAAAACAAATGAAAAATAAAGGTTAAATTCTTTTTTTTTTTTTTTCAAAAATTTGTTTTGTATTTTTGTCAATGGGCCTTAATTCTATTTATTTATATGCAATGCTGAGATTTGAACCCAGGGCCTCACACATGCCAGGCAAGTGCTCTACTACTGAGCCACAAATCCAACCCCAAAGTTAAATTCTTTTTTTTTCTTTTTTACTTACTTATATGTGGTGCTGGATCGAACTCAGTACCTCATGTGCAAGGCAAGCGCTCTGCCACTGAGCTACAGCCCCAGCTCCCCAAGGTTAAATTCTTAAAAAAATAAAATAAAATCCCACACTTGCTCACAGTGGGTGCCCAGCAGGCCCAGCCCCTTGCTTAGCACAGGCTGGCTCCTATCTAGGCATGCCATTTTGTCCTTCCAGCTTTGTGGCATATCGACTCAAGTTCTCCACTGAGCTCTCTCTAGTTACTTCCTTTCTATCCTGTCCCCTAGCCCCAGGCTTCCCTGTTTCAGGGTTTGAGACCAAGTGCCAAGAAGAACCTGTGGAGATTGGGGCTTTCCAAAGGCTTTCTGTCCCCCAGATTTCCCTCATCTTCCAGTCAGTGTCCATGGACCACTCCTCCTTCGGCACCCCAGACTTTCCCCTCACCTGGATGTTGAGAGCATGGGCTGCCTGTCCAGTCTGATGGAGACCTGGCAGGCAGAACTGGGCCCATGTCTTGGGACCCTACATGATCATGGGTGTGACCCAGGGTGGTATCCCAGTTGGGGTAGCTTCAAGTTCTCAGCCACCCTACTGTGCTCTGCCTCTAGTACTGCCCACGACCCATTAGTTTCCCTGGCTGTGTGCCCAACTCCGTGGTGCTTCAGCAGATGTGGCCGTCCACAAAGATCAGCCATCTTGAACCTCTGACCACGCTCCCCTTCTATACTGAGAACAGACTCAAGGCAAGAGGCAGAGCTGGGGGGCTCAGGGAGGGCTCCACTGTCCCCACCGTCTGCCAGATGCCCCCTCTTGTGCCCTCTTCTCTATAGCCAGATGCAAGCCTGGATGACCTATGGCTACAGCGCCACAGGTGGTCCAAGTGGCACAGTAGGCTGATGCAGTGGCTTCATGGGAAGTCTGAGGAGGAAGAGGAAGAAGAGGAGGAGGAGGAGAAGGAACTGAAAGTGGACTGGATCTCAGCTTCTCTGAGTTCACCCAGGATGTATTCTGACCAACAGTTAGATTACTGGGAGGCAGAGGCTGGGGTATGCATCCCAGGCTGCCACAGGAGGGGTGGGCTCAGTGCCCAAAACCCAGAGAAGTGGGGCTGAAGTTGCTGTCACTTCCCCTAGAGTGCCATGGACTTGACTGGCGTGTCCCAGAGCTTCCACGAGGCCCCCAGGACCAAAATCTACTTTGGCTCCCAGTACCACCAGGGGCATTCACTCTGGGAAGAGCGCTATGGGCATCTGCCCAGGTTCCTGCACTCTTTCGTCATCCAGAACTGGTTCAAAAAGCTGTTCCCCATCTTCACCCTGGAGGTGTGTGGGGGGGGCTGGGAAGCTGGGAAACATGTCTGGGATGGGGTGTGGGGAGAAAGCAGGAGCCTGCCTGAATGTGAAATAGGGAGCAGGGTCTCAGCATACCGTTCTGTAGGCCTACCCTGAGATGGGCACAGTGGAGGGCCTGGCCTCCATGTTGGTGGACCTGCTGGCAGAGGCCACCTGGGAAGACCGTGTGCATATCCTAAATGCACTGCTGAGACTGCTGCCTGATGTGAGCAGTGACCTCCATAGTCGGCTGCAGAGCAACCTCTTGCACTTGCTCAACTTGGACAACCCTCCCAGCCTCCAGGTGAGTTCCTTGACATCCTCCTCCCCCACGGTGTTTCTCCCACCAACCATTGACCCCACCTGTGCACAGGACCACATTCAGAAGCAATTTGTGATGCTGGCACTGCAGCTGCTGCTGGCCTGCTCCCTGGATTCCCGTGATGTGGTGCTAGAGCTCATGTCCTACTTCCTCTACTCTCCAGCTTCCGACCGGTAAGTGACACTCCTGACCCATCCTCCCTACCAGCTGGGGAGGCTGGAATAAGCCACATGCATTTGTCCTAGGCCAGAGCTCAAGAAGCTGCTGAATGGTCTGGGCCTCCGGGACCCAGAGGGCTTCCTGTTCAAGGAGATGATGACCTGGGTCCAGGGCTCCAAACTTAATTCCAAGGCCAAGCTGCGCTTACACTGCTGCCAGAAGCTGGAGGGTATAATCCAGCAGCTGAAGGTCTGGTGCACATGGCCTAGCTGTGCTTCTCCAGAGGCAGCCCTGGGGTCCCCTGGGCTACAGGGATGCCTGCTTTGGCTTCCTGCTCAGGGGTGGGGCACCCTGACCCTGGGGCTGGGAATTAGGCAAAAGGGAATTTCTGTAGCCAAGGAGCAAGGATGCTTCTTAGACTGGCCACTTCCTCTACAGATGGAAACTTTACAGCCATCTACAGCTCAGTTGTCAATGGTGCTGCCCAAAGGCTCTGATACCTGGCCGCCTTCCTTTCCTCCCAGGGAGGACCAGTCACAGGCTTCAGCAGTCTCAGGGGCTCCTTCGAGCATCTTCTGGCCGCAAGCCTCTCAGGCACTCCTCCATGTCCTGGAGCCTCCCTTGCCTGTGGTGTCCCCCACAGAATCTAAAGCTGGAGCCCCAGAGCCCCAGGCTCACTTTTGCACTGGGCAGACCAGGCGGTCGCTCTCAGAGACGCTGAAGAGCTTCTGCTCGGTGCCTGAGCCCTCCATGCCCACTGCACCACATGGCCTGCCACAGCCGCTGGAAAAGACTGACTGGTGGCACTGGCAGATGCCGGACCTGGGCTACATCGATGCACTCAACTACTTCTGCGAGCAGCATCAAGTAGAGCAGCAGAGTTTGATCCAGAAGGAAACTGAACAGCCACCCCGCTCTGCATCCCCGCGCCCTCCTGTGCCTAACACTGTGGTGGCGCCACCCAGGGATCAAGGGTGAGTGCAGCAAGGGGGTCCCCTGGCCGGCATGGGCAGCTGAGCATGGGCTGTCTGACCTGATTCCTTCTCCCAGGCACTACCCCATACTTAGACTGCAGGAAGCCAAGGCTCGGAGCTCTGGGATGAGAATGAAGGGTGAGTGGGCTCAAGGGTGGAGACTGGTCCCTGGTCCCACACCCTTTCCTCATCCCAGCCTTGGCTGGTGGTCTCATTGGCCTGCCTGCCCCCAGGCCGTGTGATGTCACATCTCAGCAACCACTGTGCCCGTTCACTGGACGGTTCCATCCGGGTGCTAAAGCTGCCCCTGCCAAGAGTGGAGCTGCAGCCCTTCCCCCCAGGCTGGCCCGCACCCCCTCGTGCCCTGCCCCCGTTGCTCCTGCAGCCCACCCTGCAGCGCTACTTTCTGCCCGAAGATGCGGATCCTGACAGCTACAGCTGACCTGGCAGGCACAGTGGGTCCTGTGTCTCAATCCCGCCAAGCTGAATTGCAACAACACTTGTGTCTTCTGTGTTCCCTGGCATAGGCCTGCATCTGGAATAAAGTCCAGAGGCTTTGGAAAGACAACAGATGCCACCTCCGTCTCTCCAGGGCTCGGGGGTGGGCAGGAAGGCATGGCAGTAGTCTGAATTCGCTGGTGATGGGTGGCATGTGATGTCAAGAATTGGGGATCTCTGGGATGGGACATCTGGGATATGGTCATGGGGTGAGCAGCACTCCTGGTGGGATGAGCCTGTCAACCTGGTCAAATACTGGATGTTAAGATGGGTGATTGACATTAGAGATGATTCCCTGGGTCATATCCCTGACCAGATATGAAGGGGACTTTCCAAGTGGGTACATCTGTGTGTGGGGAGGAGTCTGCATGTTTCAACAGCAGTCTGCTGGGACCTGGTTTTCCTTACTTGAATACACCTGGGCTTTAACCTGGCAAGTAACAAGGCAGCAGCATCCTTTGGATCCTTCCACATAGAAGTCCCAGGAAATGGACATTGACCTATGGGGTACAGGATCTCAGAGTCACCCACATCCTTCAAAGCTAGCTTGGCAGGTCACTGACAGGACCACTGAGGGTCTCCACACACATTAGCTGTTTGCACTGTTGTTTTTTTTTTTAATATTTTAATTGTAGTTGGATACAATACCTTTATTTTATTTACTTATTTTTATGTGGTGCTGGGATTGAAACCTAGGGCCTTGCACATGCTAGGCTGCCGCAGTCTGGCTGGGCACAAAATAACCGAGCCGCCACACAGCCTTGTAGGTTCAAACAGCAGCAACCTTTATTCCCAAACTCTCACCGGCCCTCTACACACACTTCCCGGGAAGACACTGCCTCCACAGGCTCCGTGCACCAATTCTCTTAGAACCCTGAGAGAACTCAATGGGAATTCCAAAGTAGCTGGCGCCCCAGGCAGCAGGATCTGCCCTAATCCTGGAGCTGCCCTAATCCCGGAGCAGGGTCACCTTTCAACCATTCCCTCTGGCAAAAATGCCAGGCATCTTTCTGACTAAACTGTGGCTCTCAACACTAGGAGAGCACTCTATGGCTGAGCCACAACCCCAGCCCTGTTTGCACTGTTTGAGAAGTTCCCCTAGCTTTTTACATCCTTCCATAGTGATTTCCTTTCCTGTAAATTCTCAGCTTCCAACCTTAGACCTGTCTTCTTAATGGCTTTAGGGTTAGAACTGGTCTTCCATCCCTTACCCATAACCCCCAAGCCTGCAAGCCTGCAGGGGCTTTTGCTATGAGATGGTGAAGTAGCACCTCTTCCCTAGGCCAGGCAGGCTGAGAGGTTCCAGGAATGAAGAATTGGAAGATTTTTTTTTTTTACAAAGAGTAAATATTTTAATTTTTTTAGTATTCTCAATTTCATAATTTTTAAAATAATCACACCAGATACATTTCCACAAAAATACTTGTACCATATCAGTATTAACTTTAGGTATTCACATCCATAATTAACATAATTAGGAAATTTAGCAAAGATGGTAAACATCTACATGAATGTTCTCATACTTGTGACAATTTAGTCTCTAAAATAAGTTAGGCTGGATCTACATAAAAGCTGAATTTGGTGCCTCTTTCAAATTTATCCTTGAAAAAGCAAATAGTCCTGGGTGAGGAGCAGGTTATACAGTGTGCCAGGCAAATCCTACCAGAAACTGGGAGCTGCTGTTCCATACTACAAAATGCAGGAGAAGCAGCACAGTGAACATGTTGGGGGCTTCTATTCTGACTGTCCAGGCACCAGAATCACCCTGAGCCAGTGCCACCCATCCCAGCTCTGGACACAGCAGTACTCTGGTGCTCACTAGGAAGCCAGCACCTGGAAGATTGCTTTTTTCTTTTTTTTCTTTTTTTTTTTTTTAAAGAGAGAGAGAGAGAGAGAGAATTTTTTAATATTTATTTTTTAGTTCTCGGCGGACACAACATCTTTGTTGGTATGTGGTGCTGAGGATCGAACCCGGGCCGCACGCATGCCAGGCAAGCGCGCTACCGCTTGAGCCACATCCCCAGCCCCGAAGATTGCTTTTTTCATAAAAGAGTTGTGCACACTAAAACAAGAACTCCCAAGGCCATGGTGGACTTCCTCTACCAGAGTTTCACATTTTAAATGATAAAAACAAGAAATGCTTTTTAAATACAAGTGTGAGAAAGTAGGGAAAATTTAAACATCAAGAATCTAAGAATATATATAGTAGTACTGAATATAAAATTTTATTTTGATTTCTTTTTAGTTGTAGATTGGCCCAATACCTTTATTTGACTTACGTAGTGCTTTGGAGCCAATCCAGCGTCTCACACGTGCAAGCACTCTACCATTGAGCTACAACCTCAGCCCCCAAAATTGTTTTAAACACATTTAAATACACCATTAAGACATGAAAAAAGGGGCTGGGGATGTGGCTCACCTGGCATGCGTGCGGCCCCGGGTTCGATCCTCAGCACCACATACCAACAAAGATGTTGTGTCCGCCGAGAACTAAAAAAAAAAATAAATATTAAAAATTCTTTCTCTAAAAAAAAAAAAAAAAAAGACATGAAAAAAACAGGCAGCATAGGGAGGAGCTATCTACAATACTGACACTAAAAACAGTTCAGAACACATGAGAGACAAGGATCCTACAAATCAATGTGATATGAAATAGAAAACAGGAATTTCACAAAACAAGCAAGTTCAGAGGGCAGAAGCCCAACACTGTCGTCACTGCAGCCCCTTTAGGAGCACGGGTCTCACCAAGCCTTCGGATGTGCTGCCGCTTCCTGCTGCCACTTAAGTCCTGTCTCGGTGTGAACGCGTCACTGGGTCTGCACCTCCCACAAATGCCCTAAGGCTGCCTCCTCAGGCCTCATTCCACGGCCCCGGGTTCCCAGGTGGCCCTCCGGTGGCCCTCCGCACCGGGCTCCAGGACCGCGGCGGCAGCCTGCAGGACTCGGCAGGCCTTCGTTCCAGGCGGACCCGGAGCCACACTCCCCTGACCAGACTCGGTCCCCCCCGGTGCCAGCCCTGACTCCCTCGAGGTCCCAGGAGAAGAGGCAGGTCGAGGTTTAGCTTGGCCTGAGCGGACCTTCAGGGTAACCCGCACGCCCCCGGTGCCCCGCGACCCACAATGCCCCGCGCCTGCCTGGCCCCGCCCCCTGCACCGCCGCCTCAGGTTGGCCGCGCGACTTCCGTTTCCCGGGTGGGCGGTGCTGCGGCCCCGGCCGGGGGCTGGTTCCCGCAGCTACGGCTCCGGCGCCCGAGCCCATCGCCATGCGGGAGGGCAGGGCCAGCCCAGGTGCGTCCAGCGGCAACGTGCGGGGAAGGTGGGAGGTCTGCCCCGAAGCCGAGGCGGCGAAGCTGCTGCCCTTCCTGGCGCCTGGCGCGCGGGCGGACCTGCAGGCCGCAGCAGTGCAGCACGTGCTGGCGCTGACCGGCGCGGAGTCGGGCCGCCAGCTGCTGGCTGGGCAGCAGGCGCTGCTGCAGGCGCTGAGTGAGCTGGCGGC